ATATATATATATATATATATATATATATATATATATATATATATATATATATATATATATATATATATATATATATATATATATATATGAGTGTGTGTTGTGATTCACTCGTATTCTTTAAAAAGACATGGATGATGTTTAGTAATAATAATACAAGTTTGCGTAATCGGCACGATTTCTAGTTTGTGTTCATTATGGTAAGTAAAGCTACGTGTATATTTTGTACTCCTATGGCTCCACCACTCCTTTACATTTACTCGGAAGTTGGTCCAACTCTGTTCGTTATTAGTCCACAACCGTTAATGCTACTACGTTTCACGTCACAAAAGGCAACAGTGGCAATCTTCTCAGTTGCACTACCGCCCAACCACTCAACCTATTAACCCTTAACGTTAATTCCACCATGTCTGGTCAAACCATCCTCCATGCCTTCCCTCATCTGTTTGACGGCATTGGCCAGGTTAAAGGAAAAGAAATCAAGCTCCATATCTCAAACACTGTAACCCCAAAGCAACAGCTACAACGTCGCATTCCTTTCCACGTACGCAAAGACGTTGAGCAAGAATTGAAACGCCTCGAACAGCTCGACATCATTGAAGCCATTGACGGGTCAACGCCATGGGTAAGTCCCATTGTGGTGGTACCCAAGAAGTCAGGTGAAGTACATACTGTATATGTGTCGACATGCGCGAAGCCAACAAGGCAATCGGAAGAGAAAAGCACCTCATGCCAACCTTAGATGACCTCATCGCTGACTTGAATGTAGCGGCCGTTTTTAGCACCCTTGATCTTGTTTCCGGTTATCACCAGCTAACCCTGGCCCCAGAAAGTCGTCACATCACCACCTTTAGCGCCCACGTTGGGCTGCGTCGATACAAGCGCCTGATGTTTGGTATCAACGCTGCATCCGAGATATTCCAGAACGCCATCGCTGAACTGCTTGCTGCACTACCTGGATGCAAGAATATCTCTGATGATATTATTGTGTACGGAAAAGACCAACTCGAACATGATCTTAACCTCCAAGCTGTCCTTCAACGCCTCTCAGATTACAACGTGCGCTTAAACGAGGACAAATGCCACTTCTCTCAGTCCCAAGTGTGTTTCTATGGTCATATCTTCAGCGCCAAAGGAGTCCAAGCCGATCCTGCGAAAATCGACTCCATTCAGCAAGCCCGCGCTCCTCAAAACGTCAGCGAAGTTAAGTCTCTGCTTAATTGGTTTGTCCCAATACGTCTCTCGATTCATCCCGGACTACTCTACCATCACTGCTCCACTACGTGCTCTCACTCGAACTGACGCCGAGTGGAAATGGACGACCGACGAACAAACGTCCCTCAACAAAACAAGCCAACCAAAAAATCGTTGATGCCAGCCTTGTCGGTCTCGCTGCCCTTCTCGTTCAAACTGGAAAAGTCATCAGCTACGCCAGTCGCGCTTCATCTGACGTCGAAAGTCGTTACTCGCAGACGGAACGCGAAATGTTAGCCGTCGTTTGGGGAGTTGAACACTTTCATCTTTACGTCTACGGCTCACATTTTCAGATCATCACGGATCATAAGCCTCTTCTCGGCATCTTCAAGACCTAGAAACCTGCAACACCTCGCATTGACCGATGGAAACTCCGCCTCATGCCTTATAATTGCCAGTTACAATATCGCCATGGGAAAGACAACCCCGCTGACTTCATCAGCCGCCATCCCAAACCAGTAAATTTCATCAACGAAACTGAGAACTTAGCTGAACTTTACGCAAATTATGTTTGCTCTAACGCCATTCCCAAAGCCATGACTCGTGAAGAAGTCAAACTTGAAACCAAGCTGGACCCTCTCCTCCAAAAAGTAGTCACAGCGATTTCCCTCAACAACTGGACGAAGTTATCTGTGACGAAGTTATCCTCCGTGGAAATCGTATTGTTCTCCCACAGTCCCTGCACAATCGAGCCATCGAGTTAGCCCACCTTGGTCATCAAGGCATTGTTAAAACAAAGCAACTCCTACGCGAAAAAGTCTGGTTTCCAGACGTTGACAAAGTGGTTGAAGCCAACGTCAAGATGTGTTTGCCTGTCAAGCCTCTACCCAAGGAACGTCTTCACCTCCAGAACCACTGAAACCCTCCCCGCTCCCAGAGAAAGCTTGGACCAATGTAGCAGTTGATTTTGTTGGACCATTTCCCACCGGCGAATACCTGATAGTCGTGATTGATGACTACAGTCTATACCCGGAAGTCGAAATTCTCACCACCACCTCCGCGAAAGCCGCAATTCCAAAGCTTGATGCCATATTCTCCAGACAAGGCATCCCTGAGATTCTCAAGTCAGATATAATGGCCCTCCATTTAATGGTGAAGAGTTCGAGAACTTTGCCAACCACCTTGGTTTTAAGCACCGTAAGATAACCCCATACTGGCCAAGAGCCAACGGCGAAGCTGATCGCTTCATGAAAACTATTGAGAAAGCAATTCGAGCTGCCACAGTTATAATATAACATTTAATATCCATCTTTGGTTAGAAAAGTACAATGGATTTACAAGAAGTGCTAAAGTTAAAATGGATAAGAAGAAATTTTACTATTATTTACATCAATGTTGCTAAAAATGTTTATACTATAGTTATATATTCTATAAAATTAATTTAGGACTGTTTTAAAAGGGATATAGCTCTAGGTATAAAGGATTGGCGGTGTCTTTTAGTATACGATACAACATATGGTAGATTATTTGTTGTTCTTAGATCGTGTTCATGGGTAAAAGGTTGGGGGATAAGTTTATTACATGGGTTGGTCGGATCACTTAGAATTCTTTGGTATTCCTTAACAGTTAGGTGTGCCCTTCTTTGTTCTAGCGTTTCAAAGTTGCACCGAGATGTGCCGAGGATTTTGATGCATCTGTTTTGAATGCTCTCTATTTCATCAATGAGATATTGTGGTAAACCACCCCATATCGGAGCTGCATATTCTAAAACAGGTCTAATCTTGGATTCATAACATGTAATACCGACCTCAGGAGGAAGATCCGCCCTACGGCATTCTCTCAGACTAAACATTCGTTTATTTGCTTTCCTTACAATGTTCTTGACATGACAGTTCCATTTCAAATTGTTTTGATGCCAGACACCCAACAGTTTATGAGAATTTACTCTTTTCACTGCCTCGTTTCCAATGACCAATGGTTCTGGTGCCGGTATTGCTGTGTTAAAACATATCCGCATATCTTTTGTTTTCTTCGAATTTATCGTCATTTTGTTCCTATTAGACCATTCTTGTACTGCTTCAAGGGCCTCCTGCATATGGCTGGATGAACCTTGTGACACCACTTCGTCCTGTGTACAATCATCCGCGTATTTGCATATATTTATGGATAATCCATCTGGGATTGAGTTCTCAATATCGTTAATGTGAATATTAAAAAGAGCTGGGGACATCACAGAACCTTGTGGGACTCCTGCAGGACAAGGTTTGACCGATGATAAGGTTCCTGCTAGTTTGACCTGTTGTCTTCTATCTTCCAGAAAACTACGTGTCCATAGCCAAAAGGCTTTGGTTACATTAATTTCTGCGAGCTTACGAAGTAGAATTCCATGGTCAACAAGGTCAAACGCTTTGCGAAAATCTATGAATAGTGCATGAACTCCATTTTTGGCGCTATGCGTATTGTCGGTCAAATTAAACCAGTTCTGCGAGATGTTGGTGAGTGCGGACACGGTTGATCGTTTACTTGTAAAGGCATGCTGATTATCATTTATACGTGAACTGGGAAGGTTCAGTTTGAGTTGCAGCTTTTCCAGCACTTTAGCCATTTGAGGAAGAATGGATATCTGGCGAAAGTCATTCTCGATATCTCTTGGTGGATTGACCTTCGGAACTGGGATAACTAAGGCATGTTTATACGCTGTTGGATATTCACATTCTTTTATACTGGCGCAAATAATTTCATGAACGATGGGCGCTAGTTCTTCACAGTATCGTTTAAGCACCCATGCGGGAATCCCATCAGACCCGGTGGCTTTTTTAGAGTTTAGTTGTTTCAAGGCAGTCTTAACCTGTCCAATTGAGGGAGTAGGAGGGTTTTCTTGCCTCCGTGATGACGCCACGTCTTCAAGACTAGGGATTATGGTTTCAGGAAGTTTTGACCATGGTTTAGTAAATATATTCTGCAGTATTTCCAATGTATCGGGAGTGCCGTCTGAGATTAGGTTGTTGTTCAGATTGTCACATTCAAAGCCAGCTAACTGGGATATCGTTCTATGCCACTTTGCTGCATCGTGTTTGCGTTTGCTTTTAACCTTAGATGAATAAAATTCTGCTTTAGCTTTCTTGAGAAGTGTAATGATCTTATCAGCCAATTGTCTATATTTGGTCATGTTCCCAGTAGTATAGGCTTTTTGCCTCGCTTTAATCTCTTTTTTGATATAAGCCGTCATCCATGGCTTGTCAGACGCATGGGTACGTATCGTGGTTACAGGTATTGTTTTATCTAATATGTCTATTATAGTATTTGTAAAAAGGCTAACTTTGTTTTTCATATCTCGAGCCTCAAATATTGATTTCCAGTCCTCAAGGTTTAATTTTAGGCCGAGTGCATTTAGGTTACATGGTTTCGTTAGGCGCACTTTTCGAGTAGAAGGCTTCACGGTTTGTATTGTTTTGGGACTATACAACAAACATTGATGGTCAGAGCGACCAACTGGAGGCAGGTGCACCACTTCTTTATATAAATCTGACATGTTCGTTAGTATTTGGTCTAAAACTCTGGTGCCTCTTGTCGGTGCTTTTACAGACTTCTTCAAGTTAAATCTTCTGCATAGTCTACTCAGCTTCATTTGATTGAAGTCTCCCATTATGCATACACCAGCAGACGGGTAATCGCGTAAGACAGAATCAAGTCCCCTAGTAATATACTCAATCAGTTCACTTTCTGCCGACTGCCCTGGGGGGAAGTAGACGCCAACTACCACTATAACGCTAAAAGGCCTAGGGGTTCTGGGGGGTTTAAGAAGCAGCCATAGGACCTTTCTGTTATCTTCTTCTAAATTTTTTAGACATGTAGTTGGTATACAAGCGTTCACATATGCTAATACACCCCCTCCTGGTGTAAGTCGGTCCCGCCGATAGGTATTGAACATTCTTCCAATGCTTATAGCAGAGTCGGGTATATTTGTATTCAGCCAGGACTCAGTAATCATAATCAAGGAGGGACTGTTCATTTCAACAATAGCGCGTAGATCGTCAACTTTGTTCGAAATGTGACATATGTTCGTTAGGAGGATAGTTGGCATGTTAGATATAGTTTTATTAGCGGTTTGATTAGTCGGTCTAGAATTCCGTTTTGAAATGTTTAAAGTAATTAGGTTGGTAGGGTTGCGCCTATTTCGTTTA